CAATTGACTCCATCCACATGAACTAAGATAATCAATTAGCACTTCTGTGGTACTTTTACTTCATGAATCCATATAGGTAAATTCTACTAAGGTTACTATATTTTTTTTAATGTTTGATTATATTAGGACATATATGTGCTATGTTGAGCTTAAAATTCCTTTTCCTAGTGCTACTTAACAAAAACTCATAAAAAGTAATAGAACTGGGGACCAGCAGGTGGCGTAATAGCTGTGTCGCTGGATTCCCATATAATCGACTGTAGTTCAAGTCCCAGACCCAGTGGCTTAAACTCACGCTGGGCTCATGTGCCTGTGTGCCCAAGATCCCAAGAGGAGAATAAAGAAGGGACTGTGGGGTGGCCATTCCCCCTGGGGGTGATTTCTGTCTTTCTCTCTACCCCTCTCTGTCTTTCTGGCCAGCTTACTGCCCTATAGCAAAAACCTCTCCAAAACAAACAAACAAACAAAAAAACCTGTCTTGATTTTTAACTTACAAGTTTCATAACATTGCCCAAGGTAATTAATGTGGCAGAACTAAAATTTTACTAAGTAACTACTATGTGCCAAACTTGTTTTCTCATTCTACTCTCATAACTACCTTACTATAAAAAGGTATTATCTACCTATTACAAATAAGAAAATAGAGACTTATCAAGATCAGATATCTTGCCTAAGGTCGAAGAGCTAAAATACTACTACTAAAGGCATAGCCGAAGTTCTAATAATTGAGGTCTATAAGCAAGTCCCTTTTCTGGTAAATCACGTTTTAAATTCTTTTTCCAGTAGTAGTGATAGAAAATTACTCTTCACCCCTCTTCTCCCCCACCCCTTCCCACTAAACAGCATACACTATTTTTTTTTTTTTTTTTTTTTTGCTATAGGGCGCAAGAGCTCGCCAGAAAGAAAGAAATCACCCCCCAGGAAGGATGGCCATATCCCTTCTCCTCTTGGGATCTTGGGGAGAACGCACATGCTAAAAGAAATCAGCCCCCAGGGAGGATGACCACGCTGCAATCCCTTCTCCTCTTGGGATCCTGGGCACGAACGCACATGCGCCTAGCATGAGTTTAAGCCACGAAAGCACATGCGCCTGGCATGAGTTTAAGCCACCGGGTCCGGGACTCGAACCACGGTCATCTACATGGGAGTCCGGTGACATAGCCATTACGCTAACTGCTGGTCCCCCTACTTTTTGACATCAGGTTCAGAGAAGAGCAATCGTTGGCCATTATACAGAGCATGGCCTACAAGGGTGGAATGTGTATTATGGTCTTCATTTTAGTAGGGTTCTAGCTAGATTAGGTAACTAGGTACAAATGTAAAGAAGGTGGAGGAGATAAAGTACACGAGCAAATAATTACCCAAACATAATTTCATTTGGCTCTGAAATGCACTGTACGTCCTATTAGCAGCAGATTTATCTTTATAATTCTGTTTTGCTCACACTATGCTCAAAATAGATTTCAAGGAGCACACACTGACCACAGAGGCTGCTAGATCTGGGGTTTGGAGTCTGAAAACGTGTTTGCTGTACGTGACTACCTCGATTGACAATTAAGATAGCAGAGGCAATAAGGTAGTAGCTCCTAAAACGCAGTACTGTGCTTCCAATATGCTTCCTTCAACTGAACTCCCTGAACACAATCCACCTAAACAGCCGGCTGTGTTAAGGAGGATGACAGCTCTAGTAACTTCCTCTTCCTCACCAACCTCCTCAGCTCGGCGAGTATACGCCTTCCCCCCTAGGAGGCAGGATAAAACAATTTCAAACGCACAAAATTGATTCAATACCACCAGCACCATAGGCCAGGGAAGCCAGTTTCCCTTTCTTTCCCCGCCCCTCCAAGGAAAAAAAAATTGTTTAAAAAAATACATTTCTCCAACAAGAAAGTACTTGCAACAAAAAAACGAAAACAAATACTCAGTCCTTCCACACAGCCTTAGGGGAGGGATGAAAAAAAGGGATCTCGACACCGCGTATTCCTGAGATTGACTGCTTTGATTACTTTCCCTCGGGTCTCCCCGCGGGCCCGGGGAAGGCTTGTAGCCGAAACGCCAAAACAAGCCTTCGCCTCTCAGGAGACGCGCAGGCGG